CTACGGTGGTGGAGTATGCCAGGGAAGTGGTCCGCCCCGGGCCGGGATGTGACACCGACGCCTCCACCACTGCTTGGGCTTTGTTCTTGAGGTTGAGATGAGCCTATTGGTGGTGGTGGTTGATGGACTTACCTTCGGATTTGATGGATTGCCACCACGAAGCCATCACACCCATTGGTGCATGTCTTCCCAAATTCGAATCGAATCTCCTCAAATTTGATGTGAAAATGGTAGAGGAAGGGTCGAGATGATGATTAGGAGTGGTAGACCGGCCCAAATCTTCAGAAAAAGGATGAAATTCGCTGGAGAAACCCACCGGCTACAACCGGGTTGCGGGTAGCATATGTCGGGGTAGTGTTTTGATGGCATTCCCCTTTTCTCCTTTCTCTCATTTCTCTGGTTCCTCATTCGCCACCTCATTTCTCTCTCCTCCTCCCCTTGGCCGAGACTCTCTCCTTTCTCCCCTGAAACTCTCCTCTTTCTCCCTCTCATTCGCTGCCCTCAGGCAGCTTCCATCCATCTTTTTTTTTTCTAAAAATCTAATTGGTCCCCTTTATTTTAACTAATTTAATCTTTAACCCACATGTGGAAATTAAATAATTCCCACAATTTGTAGTTTTAAAACTTCAAACGTTCGTAACTATACCGATATCATCCGGACTCGCAAACGGTTTTCGCCTTTGCGTTCGTACGAACGAATACTACACAAATGCGCTAAGTGAATAAGTCATACGTTTCTCTACACGTTGGTCAATGATAGTCAAAACCTTCACCTCTAGGGCATTTTCGTAAATTCATTCTTTTAAAATTTATAAAATCGTAGAACTAGGGATGGGTTGTCACAGAAATAGTAATCCCGCCCCTGGTGCAAAAAGAAAAATTGAAAAAAAAAAATTCTCTTATTGAAATAGCTCGAAATGCCTTACAAGTATGCCAAAAAAAAAAATTAATAATACTATTATTTCCCTCATCTATCACAAGCTCAGCTCGTTAATTTATGAACTTTTATACCAATAACTAAAAGTTATGGGCAATATGTTAGTACAAGTATTCTCTTAGTCATTTAATAGCCTCCATGCATACATGAAAAGTAAGAAATATATATAATATACAAGGTCGTCGCAATTATAATAAACGAGTCTTCATGCACGTGCTCACACGTGTGCAGAAGACATTTTTTGAATCACGGCATGTTACATGCGACTTACACGTTTTAACTGTATTTATATGCGTAAATTTACAAAAAGAAAGTCAAATATTTGAAGTAAATGAATAATCTTAGATCATGCTAGAAGAAACCCCTCATAATAAAATCGGCTTCTATAGAATTTACATTAAGAATAGAGAAAATAATATTTAATAAACAACTGATTGAATCACATTCTTGCTAGCTCATTGTGAGGCTAAGCTCACCCCCTCTCCCTTAGTGTAGATAATATCGTTTGTTAAAAAAAACAATTATTTGACAACGAATTTAATCACATTATTATCCGTGTGCGAAAGACCTTTTTCATAAACGGTATTACGCATCTCTTAAGATGTTTTGAACGTGTTTAAAAATAAAGAAAATAATGTTTAATAAACAACTGATTGAATCACATTATTGCTAGCCCATTGTGAGGCTAACTCACCCCCTCCCCCCTTAGTGTAGATGCGTGCGAAAGACTTTTTTTATAATCGGCATTATACACCTCTTAAGATGTTTTGAACGCGTTTAAAATAGAGAAAATAATATTTAATAAACAATTGATTGAATCACATTATTGCTAACTCATTGCAGGCTAAGCCCACCCCAACCTCTTAGTGTAGATAATATCGTTTGTTAAAAACAAAATCATTTGACAACTAATTGAATCACATTATTATCCGCGTGCGAATGATCTTTTTTATAACCGGCATTACACGCCTCTTAAGATGTTTTAAACATGTTTAAAAATAGAGAAATTGAATCACATTATTGCTAGCATATTGTGAGATACTAATTATAAAAAAAACAAAAAAATATCGTTTGTTAAAAATAAAAACAATCATTTGATAACTAATTTAATCACATTATTATCAGCGTGCAAATGACCTTTTTTATAACCTGCATTACATGTATCTTAAGATGTTTTGCCCAGCCCTCCCCCTTAGTGTAGAAAATATTGTTTGTTAAAAAAAAAATCATTTGTCAACTAATTTAATCACATTATTATCCGCGTGCGAATGACCTTTTTTATAATCATCATTACACGCCTCTTCAGATGTTTTGAACGAGTTTAAAAATAGAGAAACTGAATCACATTATTACTAGTTTATTGTGAGATACTAATTTTTTTTTTAAACCACAAAAAAATTAATTATTAAAAAATATTATTAAAATGATGAAAATGCCCTTGCCTTATTGGATGCATTATTTTGGGATGCCTTTGAAGTTTTTTTTTTTTTTTTTTTTTTTTTGTCTTGGGGGCATTTTGTCCAAATATTTTTGTTGAAACTTGGTGACACCAAAATCACTATTCATCTTTTCCATTGGCTTTATATATAGATATACATGAATTAAAATACGGGTCCTCACACCACACAATTATTATTCTTCTATTACACTCATATTACATTGGGGAAGGAGAGAGAAATTTTTTGTGACGAATGCAGTAGCAGAGCATAAGAGATGACAAATAAACTCAATGAGTTATTAACGGGTACTCGTTAAGACTTGTTTCATTTAATATCATTGTAATATATAGGTGAGATTTGTAGTGATGATGATAGTGTAAGGTGAAATCAAATCAAATAGGTCTTAATGGGGTATCCATTAACAATTCAATGTATTCATTTGCCACATCTACAGTAGCACCGTGATGTCGTGAAACTTGCATGTATGGTAACATCAATCTGTTAATCCAGATATGCTATGATGATAACCATCTTGAATGTCGTTGATGACCGACGAATTTGATCCCAAAACTCATGGACGAAGAAGCTAGAACCATAACACCATGAGCTCTCAACTAATGACATGGATGGTGTCGTTTCACACTTCGGCAATGGCTTCAGCTTCTCCTAAAATTCTTTTTATTTATTCTTGTCACGCTTTGACACCAAACACATTGTACAAGGAACTCATACATAAATTATATTGAATAATTAGCAAAATAACAACTAATAAGAAATTCTAGTTCACAAGCGAACTAGGCATCAAATTAAATTAGAATAACCTGAAGGGTATGAAGCCTAAACTCTGAGCACACTGCCCCAATATCACTAAAAAACTTGAAGTCTCAGCCTTAATTCTACAAAAATCCTACACCTTGGATGGTATACTGCATTGTTGACAAGACTTGGTAAGCTACACAGCTTAGATGAGTGATAAATAATACTATATATGCCAGCCACCAAATTTTAGATTCATGAAATCTTTATATTAGTAAAAATAGTTGCGTGCTCTCATAACATTCGCGCAGAAACTGGATGGCTGTGCATGCGTCAAATAATTTCTCATATCATAAAAGAATCAAGGCTTGAGCGGTTTGGATTTGTGGATATAAATTTTGTACAAGGTTGAAATCACGAAACTCCACCTGCAAAACAAGAAACTCTGTTAGCCTAATTGACGAACATCCGAGAAAAATGAGGAGGCATCCATTGAAGAGTCTCTGATGCCTAAGTTAGAATAATTTGAGAGAAACTAGAATAGAGTGAATTCTGAGTAGTAAGTGGTGGTTACGAATTCCGCTGTTGGACTTCGCTATTTATAGGAGAGATCCCTTGTAGGCAGCTAGAAGGGTATGCCGCATGCCATATGAGACAGACCATTATGTTCTGCTAGTGTGATGTAGACCATTCTTTGTAGGTAGACCAATATGTTATGCTAGTGTGAGGCAAATCAATGATTACAGCTGCACCATCGAGTATCATCTTGGCAGAGCTAATGTAATGGGCGACAATCTTGGTAAAAAATCATATAAGCAGTTGGTGTCCATTCGAACAATTTACATTCCACTGTTGACAAAGATGAAAAGCACAGATGCAATCTTCGATGTAGACCATCAAGGAGCGACCCATCCTTGTTGATAGAGTTTGAGAAGCTCAGGATGCAGATCCTCAATGTGTACAATTAAAGGGAGAAGTCCTTAATAAAGTAATAATAGATTTCACAATCAGAAAAGATGAGCCTTCATGATACCTAGTCCTTGATGACGCACACATTTTAGCACATGCTATGCACACAGATAGTATTAAAATGTACCACATCATCAAACCCTCCTACTATTGGTGAGGGATGAAATAAAGAGGGACATCGCCGAGTATGAAATAATGATGAATAGGATAACTGGTACAAACGGAAGTTCATTACAACTTCTTATCCTAGTCATGCCTCTTGATAATCTATTTCAATCTCGTAGCTTAAAATATTCATATCAAATGCTAAAACTTCTTGTGAGTTACGACATATTTTTTGATTTAGAATAATATTTCAAACTTATGAAATTTCTAGAATTGGCCTAGGACAATCAACTAAATTCCATTTGCTCGTCTTGTTTTGTTCAAGTGAAAGTAAAAGACGGATAGGTCAATAATAAAATATCATTTCCTTCAATACCTACTTTTTATTATTTTATTATTTTTTATTTTTAATAAACAATATTATCTACATTAAGAAAGTGAAAAGATGGACTAAGCCTCACAATGGGCTAATAATAATGTGATTCAAAATCGTATTTGGAGCGAGAATTAAACCTACAACTTTTTACTTACCAATAAAGAAGAATATCATTAGATTTTAGTACTGAGTGACCATTCAATTCCTACTATTTTATAGAAATAAGTCCTTCTGAAGTCCGAGCCGCCCCTCCCAGTTCTCCCACAACCAAAAGTGGGATTTGGGAACACCGAAAAGTCAAAAACTCAAAAGAGCAGAGGGAACACCGTACAAGTCATGGAGCGGCACACAGCAGATCCCATCGAAAGAAGGAAAACGACGGAACCAGTCAACCAAACCAGAGAGAGCGAGCTAGGTGAGGTGAAATGAGACGCGGGTGGTTGGTTTCGCTTCGAGCCCCGCCCATTTATCTCATCCCCTCCTCATCCACTCCACCACCACACTTCTCACACTTCTCACTCTCCACAAACTCCTCCTTCTCCCTCATCACACTTTCTCTCTCTAAAACTCAACCCCCACTCCTCTCTCTCTCATCGCTCTCTGTCTCTGCGCCTGCTTCCAACAATGGCTCTGCAGTCGGTGACGCCGATTGCTCAGCTTCTTCACTGCTCCAGCAATGGCCGCTCCCCCGCCACCCAGCCGCCCCGGAACGGACTCTTCGTCGTCGATTTCGTCGGCTTGTGCGGTAAATCGAAGCGGACTCGCAGGAAATTCGGAGCCGCCTCCGACCATCGCATCTTCCCTCATTTCGTCTCCAGGAACTGCCACTCGGTCAACGCCGTTCTTGACGTCGGACGCAGCAGCGACGCCGCTGCCTCGGATCAATCAGCTCCGATGACTCCTGATTTAAAACCTAAGGTATGCTTGCTTTGCTTTCACACTCACTTTTATTGAGAGGAGGAGGATGAGGAGGAAGTGTTTGTTTGGTTGCGGGGAATATTGTAAACGGGTTTTGTGTTTCTGTTTTAGTTGTCAGTATTATGCTGTTTGGTATTCGTGAGCTTGTTGTTCTTCCAGGTCCTTCTCGGTAGTGTTTGTTTGGCTTCATTCATGGAAGTATAGTATCCATTTTTCATTGCATTCAAGCGTCCATGTTTTTTCTGACTTTCCCGAAAAGCGGAATTTGTGATTTCAGTTACAAACTTACAGTTCACAAGTCTTTGATTTTGGGGATAATTAATCTAGTGTTTTAGAAAGAAAGAAAATGCTCTCGATGTTACCCTAGTACCGGGTTATTTAACTCGTGTCTTCTAGTTGAATATGATTATCAAATGGTTTTGCTCATGAGTAGAGGCAGTAGTTTTGATTATTAGAGCTTATTTTCGTCAAGTACATCAACCATATTACTCGAAGAGACGAAAGTTTCAGTCTGGCCACGATTTACATTTACGAGTGTAGTCACTCTGTATACTCTGCAAATATATCTGCCTCTACTGCATGCATGCCGAGAAGACTGAATATAGCACTTCAGTCTTCAGCTGCACCACACAGAGCCCCTTGTCATATAAAATACGCCTTTCTCTCTCTCTCTCTCTCTCTCCAAGTGCTGATTATTAGAATTGCCATCACTTTAATCATCACAGAATGCCCCAACATGGGTAAACCGTAAACACAGTTATTGAAACTTAAAGTGAGAGATAACTATTGATTTATATGTTATAAACAAATAACAAGTGCATTTATCTCACTATAATAGCTGTTAGTTTCATCATCATGTCTGTTAGCTATTGATCAATTAATAACAGTTCAATCACCAACTAGCTCGTAGTCTAGTGGTATTTTTGCTCTCATTGTTGAACAGATCTTCGCACTTGGTGCGATGGCAAGTGCCTTCGCCCATGAGCGGTAGGTCTCGGGTTCGAGACTTGGGAGCAGCCTCTCCATAAATGGGGGTAAGGCTAGCCGACATTCACCTCTCCCAGACCCTGCGTAAAGCGGGAGCCTTGTGCACTGGGTACGACCTTTACCTTTATTGTTGAACAAATCTTCATTGATAAAAAAATTATAACAATTTAGTCATCGAGATTGTGTTTGGTAGTCTTTGTGCCATAACATCAGAAGTTAGCATGAGATAATATTTAATCCAAAATAAAGGATAAACCTCATTGTCCTTAAAGTTTCAGCATTGAGTCTAATCCATTGGAATATCAAACAAGGATCTTCAATCAACATTTCCCTCGTAATGATAGTGGGTCTGGATTTGGAATCTTTTGTCCAATAATTCTAGTAAGGTTCCTTTTGTTTTATAGAGATATGTCACACAACATGATAGTCTTTACAAAAAGTGGTGGATAACAAGTGTGGAGATGATTATGGTGCATGGTGTAAGAGAAATCTCATAGAGTGACATGGTAGAAAGTTATGGAATGGTATACGAAAAGGATAGAACAATAAAATGAATGTTTGTATATTCTTGAATGTTTTTCAATTCATTATAGGTATTGGAAGGCTTCTACTTTTTGGGTAAGCTGTGCAGTGTGGTGATGCAAATTTGAAAAGTATTTTATATGTGTGTCTTAACAATACACTTGTTTATTCCAATTTGGAAGTTATGGGGATTGTTTTGGATAGGAGACCAACTTTTAAAGGAGTTTTGGATGAATAGATTTTGTTGACTTCCTTATAGTGTTGTATGTGACATAATAAATGTGATCATTAAATTTTTTTTGCTTGCTTATCAACTACATTCGAGGAAGTGGCACTTGAAATCGGAGCTTCTTCTTACAAGAGGTCTCTCACTGACTCACACCAATTAGGTTACACGTCTTGGCTTCCAAGAAAGGTTAGAATATAGATGTGGAGATTATGTGATCAATTTAGTGATTTTTCTTTTTCTATCTGGCTTAGCTGGAAAGCTGCTGTTAGTTAATTTCAGGGAGTTTCAAAAAGATGTAGAGTTGTTGAGTTTCGATGTTTTATTTTCCTCTGTGGAGTTTGGACATCTTGTCTGTTCATGTACTTTTATTAATTGTGCAATTAAATTTCGTCTTCTCTTTTTCGTAAAAATAAAAATAAAAATAAAAGTGGGAAGGATGCAAATTTGATGTAAAGAGAACTATTGGGCTCTTTTATAGGTTATATCATGATCATATGACTAAAATATGACACATGAATACATCTCAGAAAGTGGTGTTTATTGGGAAACTCCTATGATTACTGATTAGTAAGAAAAAGGGAGAATCAGTTAATCATTTGCTTATATAGTGCCTTGGGGACTTGGAGCTGTGCATGCATCCTCTTTCTTTGACATGACTTGGGTGATGCCATGTTTGATTTTTGGTTTTTGAGTGTTCTTTCGGATGTCAGATTTGGGGAGCACACTTGGTCGATTGTTACGTCACTTGGGAGGTTAGGCGGCAGAGGATTCTTTGGAAGGGAGGATCTACCAACTTTTTGATATTAAAGCTAGACTTTTGTTCTTACTAATTCTTTGGGGTGGCTAGAAATTCTTTTCATTTATGTTTTTAGGTTGCCTTTTACATTACGGGTAGCTTCTTTACTTAATATAGTTGATAAGGATTGTAAAAGAGTTTTGGATTTTATTCAGGTGATACCTTCATTGCTAGTTTTGGTGTTTTTATTTGATTAATTCGTGATAATATTTTTTGTACTTCGATGAAACATAAATGTGGTTACCTGTGTGCTTTTTGGTTGAAAGATACAAAAGTGAGCATTGATATTTGATACACCAATAGTAGGGTTTTTAATACACAAGTGGGTGGTTATTTAGTTTCTGTGTACATTCAAAGGCATGGGAAAATAATTGTTTAATTGAAGCTGTACAATTGTTGTACAAAATATTTATTCCGAAAATAATCCATATATGAAGTTCACAGGATATTACCCAGTATAAATATAATGCAATGTTTTAAAAGGCTGGCCTCAGGGGGTGCCTAGGCGCCCTGTGAGGCTGGGCGTGAGGGTTGCCGCCTCTGTTTTGAAGGAGTGGGCGGAAGGCGTCGCCGGAGCCGCCTAGGCGGTGGAAGGCGCGCCTCAGGTTTTTTTTGTTTGTTTTTTTTTCTTTTTTAATTCCCAAACCCAAATTTTGGGTAGGGTTTTAACTGCTTCATACCTCTTCCTTGCACTATCGTCTCTCTGCCTTGTTTTTTCTGATTTTTATTTTTTATATGATAGTCGACCCCACTTAGTGGGAAAAGGCTTTGTTGTTGTTGTTGTTGTTGTTATTTTTTATATGATGGATGTGTGTGCTGTGTACTCATTGTGCTTTTCATTCTCTCTCTCTCTCTCTCTCTATATATATATATATATATAGATATATATATCTACTAATTAATAAAACACTCATTGTCAACCAAAACCCTATGAAATTACCAAATTAACCCTCCAATTAAAACAGAACATGAATAAGAAATATGGGGCAGAAATGTAATCACACAACCAAATTTTACTGTTAATGCCAGAAATTAAGTTGTTACAAGGTTATACGCATCCTCATTTATGTACTGTAAGTTTTGTACGAGTAGCATTTGTGTGAAATACAGTTATCCCATAGTTATGGTGTCAAGCGAGCTGTGAAATCTTGGGTTGGGAGGAAGGGGGGAGGCATGACCCCTATGGCCTCAATTATGTCATTGGTGGTGCAGGATAATGTCCTTTTCAATCGTCATGAGGACCGAGTAAGAAGGAGAGACTGATCTCATGACAGTTTATTGTCTTTCATGAAAGTTGTCAGAAACTTGGACGTTCTGTTCGTTTTCACATACGTTGTTTTTGGTGTGATAGTTCTTTACCATGCATTCTGAATAAGTTATTGGAAGCCCTTATTTCTGGGAAATCTAACTTCCATGTTCAACAGGTTGCAGACTTGCAAGATATAATATCAGAAAGAGGAGCTTGTGGAGTTGGATTTATTGCCAATTTGGAAAACAAAGCATCCCATGGCATTGTTGAAGATGCTCTAACAGCCCTTGGCTGCATGGAACATCGTGGGGGCTGTGGAGCAGATAATGACTCTGGTGATGGTTCGGGATTGATGAGTTCAATCCCCTGGGATCTATTTGACAATTGGGCTAACAAGCAAGGAATTGCTTCCTTTGACAAGTTGCACACCGGTGTTGGAATGGTTTTCCTACCACAAGATGACAACCTTATGAAAGAAGCCAAAAATGGTGATTTCTTGTAATCCTTGAATTAAGTGGGTTGCAATAATTTCTTTTTGTTTTCACTGGTACAAGAATGTGTATCATTCTTGAATTTTGGTTAGGTTCTGCATGAGTTATTTTTAAGCAAGTCAAGCTCCTGCCCCAACCAAGATAATTTTTCTTATGGTATCATGATGATTTAGGTATTATCTATGATTTAGGTACGACGCAATGAGTCTGCCTTTTTGTTGGTTTAAATTCACGAATCTTTCTATTGGCAAGGACAAACCCACACCACTCTGAACATAACTAACAACTGGGCTTAATGTTGCCTTGTGAAATTGCAATGCTAGAAGACATTAACATCATGTTCTTACTCTGTTTTACACAAAGCACTCCACTATGGGGATTAACCGTGCTTTGAATCATATGTATTTTTTAGGATTGATTTTTTTGTACATTCCAGGTAAAGACTAAATAATTTAGATTGCTTCACAATCATACCATTAATTTTATTCTTTAGCTTGAAAATAATGATGTATTCTCTAGGTTGGCAACTTTAAAAATGATTTATGCTAGGCTTATCTGAATGATGCTTTGACTTCTATTATTAGATTGAATTTTAATTGCTTTGATGGCTATTGCTTTCAATTATGAAGGAATGGATGTCTTAGGGATATTCTCTCTTCTTCTAGTATAGTTGATGGATGCGTTCTCAACCATAAAATGAGTTTGGTTCAGCTTTGTAAAGTAGTCCTACTTGAAATGTCTTAAGCTAGTTTGGTGGATTTTCTTATCCACTTGTTGTAATTCCTTCTGTTGTTTTAATAAATTTTTATTATTTCTTCTCAAAAAAGAAGAAAGAAATACAAGTTTATATGAGTGAGTTCTTATTACTTACAATATATTTAAGTGAATTAACTTATCTTTATCTAGGCCTAGCTTTCCTACCTGTATCTTTTATAATCTGTCTAGTTATCTATTCTGTTATTTTAGTTTTGCTATAATTTCTGAGATAAATTCAGTTTGTTCAGATTATCTGTTGTTTGACTGTACATTCTATTTTCTTCGTAGTTGTTGTGAATATTTTTAGACAAGAGGGTCTTGAAGTGCTTGGATGGAGACCTGTTCTGAAGTACTTCTTAGTTGGAGTTGACTCCAAGCATACAACAGGTATTTGTTAAAGTTGTTAAAGAGGAAAATGTTGAGGACATTGAAAGGGAACTGTACATATGCCGAAAGTTGATCGAGAGAGCATCAAGCTCAGAAAGTTGGGGGGAATGAGTGAGCTTCATTCTTTGTCCAACCATTTTAAACCTAGTTTTACCAAGCTGGAATCAAAGTTCTTGGTTTATTTTATTCTGACCTCCAAAGTGACCTGTATAAATCCCCTTTTGCCATCTATCATCGGAGGTATAGCACAAATACCACTCCCAGGTGGCCCCTTGCACAACCAATGAGGTTACTTGGTCACAATGGAGAGATTAATACCATACAGGTTTTCATTTCTTTAACATCATAAGATTTCTAGATAATAATTTCTAAATTGGTTATATAAGTATACTTTTCTTTTAAGTTGACACCACGTTTATGTTCAGGGAAACTTGAACTGGATGCAATCTCGTGAAATCATTGAAATCTGTATGAAATGGTTCGCCGGCAATCCGAAGCATCTCTGCATCTATGAACAATCTAGCTTTATTTATAATCTTGATAACTTACTGGAAATAAATCAATGAGAAATAAAACTAACTATCTCGTAACATGGGCCATATTTGTTTTTGAATGTGGAAGTATCATGAAATTATAATATTGCGAGATAAAACTTAGGTAATGTGTTGAGTTCAGAAATCTATGAATGATATTTTTTATTTTAATCTAATACTGTAATTAGTTTCTAGTTCTTCCTACATTATTAAAGGGTTGCCGTGCCCGAATCCTTTTTGTTTTTGTTGGTGAGTTTTGATGATCATGTTTAGTTCATTGAGTACACGACATAAGCTCCCAACTCATTCTGATCCTTCCATTTCTTTTGGTTTTTAATAATGGACTATTGCTTGTTTTTTAATAATACCATAAACTTTACTGTCTCAATGGATTTCTTGTATTTAGGCTATTAAAAATCTTGACCTTACAGGTTGCCGGATAACCAAGGAATCTATAGTACGAAAAATGTCTTCTGAAATTTACTAGCAAGTAAAACAGTTTGTGGATGTGTGTTGGTTCTATTTATTTATGGTATTATTTTTGTAAAAGAAAAACCTGATTTCACTTTTGAACTATCCATATAAATTTATGGTTATCTGTCTGCTCCTCATTACTATATTCTATAGCTTGGTTCCTCAGCTGATTCAGGCTCAATTGCTCATCTTCTTTTGTGTTTGTGTTGTTTGAAACATACATCATCTTTTGACCAATTAAACTTGTATGCATTTATTTTGTTTCTCAATAATTATTTTTTCTATCTAGTTGACTTATTGCCTTTCATTCTTTCTTTCATGCGTGTGCTTAGTTCTTATTAAGAAGTGGCCGCAGTGCTGAGGAGGCTCTAATGATTCTTGTCCCAGAGGGATACAAAAATCACCCGACTTTGTCGGTAAAATATCCTGAGGTAATCTAAGTTGGTGTTCGCCATTTGGTTTAAAGGGAATAAAAATGCATGTTGCATTGCTGTTTTTCTTTCTTTTCTTACTTATGGTTCATGACTAATTTTTTTGTTACATTTGATCATCTTCATGTTCATTTGTTTGACCTTTTCGGTGAAACCATAGTGGAACTAAACCTTAGATTCCACATGAGGTTTAGGTACTCTAATCTGTTATAACTATCCATTTTTCGGTTTTTAGGAGGGGTTTGTTTCTCTTCTGCTTTTCCGTTTTCTTTCAGTGGTCTGCTTGACTACTTTTTCTTTGTTGTTTTATTGTTTATTGCAATAAATTAGTTTCTTTCTAAAATAAACAGCTAAACAAATTGCATCCTGAACCAAACCGGTAGGATCCTGAAGTTATCCTGCCTTCTGGTTATGCTATATTTATACTTAATTTGTTTTTGTTTTTAGGTGATTGATTTTTATGACTATTACAAGGGTCAGATGGAGGCTTGGGATGGACCTGCTTTACTGTTATTCAGGTAAAGTTTCCAAAGTCGGTGTACACCATATTAAAGAACAGGTAGATGCCTTGTTAGGCTCTACATAACTAAAAGCATATGAAAATTTGACGTTAAAGAATGCATGGATTAAATTGGAGCATTGTCTCATTTTGTATTGTTTAATTAAAATTTGACGTGGCACAGAACCGAGCGCAATGGCGTTCTAGGATTTATACAGCCGACCCCACTTAGTGGGAAAAGGCTTTGTTGTTGTTGTTTTATTGTCTCATTTTGTATAGTTTAATTAAAAGCTATTTCATTGTGTGGCATAAGAATAATTTAACACTATCCATGTTAGCTAGTGTAGTGTTTCTTTTCCTTCATCGTACAAGAATTCTTATTACATACCTCTAGATTGCAACTAGTGGCTAATGATCAATTTCATATTGATGTGCATGGTGAGAGATTTAGGGTATCAGAAATTGGCTAGGAGATCACGTGGTTCTTTAGTCTTAGTTTTTGTTTGAGAAGTATATTCTATTCTTACCAGAATGAAAATATGGGACAATTTATGGGTTTTTTTTTTTTTTTTTTGAGATCACCAAACTTTGAAAATAGAGTTGACATCCTTCTACCGTTTTGTTGAAATTTCTGTCTTAGTGGAGAGATTGAGGCTTTCTACCTCATTTTCCTTGGGTTTACTGAAATTCCAGTGGTACTTTTTATTTATTCATTTTTTATGTTCAAATTCCTTCAACAGCTTTGTTCGAAGGCAGCAGTTAACTCTGCAGCTAATTCCTGAATTATGACATGGGCAGCAGCAAGATCTCATATGCTTATAATGACATAATTGATGATACTGCTATATAATTTTTACATGTTTAACTCTTTCATTGTTGATTGGTCTGGTATAACTCAAACTATTGTTCATGTTTTCCATGCTTATATGAAAACTTTTGCCATTTTCATTACTTTTACAGACGTTTTCATTGATAATTACATAAATCTGGATTATTAATATTTATACGAATCCGGATCAGTTTTCCATGGACACCAATACTTTCATCCTTGGGTAGTAAACTACCATAAATGAGGGGTGAAAGTAGGTCTTTTCTTTGTTTTCCTATTGCTTTGTAGAATCTGATTTGATGAAAAATTTTCTTTGTACAGTAGTATGGTTATGTGACAAATGCAAGTCTCTGGATCAATGATATTTGCTGACCATATTGCTTGGTGTTTTCTATAAATGTTTCACTATGCACTTTGTTAAAAGAACTGTGAAAGACTGAAGAATATCTTACTGTTGATGTTGAATCACATTTGCATTGCAATTTTTTTTAATGAACAGTTTTTCTTTCTGATTGTTGCTATTCTAACTCATGTGGTACAGTGATGGAAAAACAGTTGGGGCCTGTCTTGACCGGAATGGTCTTCGCCCGGCTAGGTATTGGAGGACATCTGATAATGTTGTATATGTTGCATCTGAGGTGCGCGCTGTTTCCTTTGTTGCTTGAAATTCTTGATGTTTGACAAAACATGAGTGCTTGGACAACTTTGGCTCATGCCACTGGCTCTCTACTGATGATTGAGATTAAATTGGGTTTTGAGAATGATTGGGATAATTGATAAACCTTTATTCCTTTATTTGGAATCAAAACATAACAACTCATTAAAAAGAACAATACAAAGATAGCCTAAGTTAATTTTGTCTAGTTGCTAATGATAGTCTAAGAGTCACTCACTTATAGTAGTTAATGTTTGAATTCAAAGTCTCCAGGAAGTATTAGTAGTGTGTAGAAATACTAACCAATTAACCGGGAAAAAAAGGACGCTATTAATTCTGTTTAGAACAGTAACGCTTAGGGAGTAGATGAAAAATGAGTCCAGTTTCAGTACCTAAGAGTTTGGTGTTTGCTCATGGGGGAGTGAATGTTTGTTAGAGCCTTCAGTTTTTCTTTCTCCTTAATGGGTGCCCCTATGTGCAATGGAGCTGCTAAGAGTATGAAACACATTTTCCTTTATTGTCCAGTGGTTTTAAGATTATTTTAGGCGGCTATATGAATTGGGTGGTAGCATGCTCTTGTCATTCTTCATTTTTTGGAAAGGTTTTGTGCTTCTGGATGTGGGTTGAATTTTTAGTGTTGGGGGAAGGAAAATTTTTGGTGGCTTGGTCTTAAAGAAATAGTTTCATTTTTTAAGAGTAAAAAGATATGGAGGTGGTGGATTTCTTTGGGCGTCATTCACTTCTGGATTCAAAGGCTGTTCTTTCTTCAGTGTAAACATGGATTGGGAAGCCAGTATCTCTTTTAATATAGTGTTCTTTTTGGCTAATGTTTTTCTTTTATTTGCTTGGTGCTTGACTGTCCTTTTTTCAGTGTAATAACTGTTGTTGGTGGGAGCTATTTAGTGGTGCATTATTAACTTATTTACTTCACTTAAAAAACATTTGACTAGAGACCTAGTTGTGTCCTTCATTCTCCATAGTTGCACAATAATAGATACTTTTTGTTCCAAGGCTGCATGAACAATATGTTTGATGTGATGTGGTAAACATCTGAAGCTGTTATTATCTTGTTCAGGTTGGTGTTGTACCTGTGGATGATTCTAAAATTACAATGAAAGGTCGTCTAGGTCCTGGAATGATGATAGCTGCTGATTTAATAAGTGGTCAGGTTTGTACTTTGTGCAGCACTTAGTTTTTTTTTTCTTTTTCGATTCTGTTGCTTTGTTTTTCCTACAGGATTTCTGTTTTGTATTTAACTGTGATGAACATTTAGTTCTAAAATGGTAGTAATGTGGATTTAGTGATAGGTCAAGTTTGTACAACATTTGGTTTTGTCTTTCCTTGGTGCTGCAATTAGATGGATTTTGGGAGTAACTGTGATGAATTTTTGTTTTCATATCCCAATTGAACTACAGAAAATAAAGGAATTGACCTAGATAAAATCATCATTGTTTAAAAAGTATGCAAATTCTTCAAAGAATGCTATTCTACAGAATAAATGATGCACAGGACGAGTAACCCTAGTCAGGTATGTCTTTATTATACAATTTTAGGAATTGTTATTATTATATTTCTATTCCCAAAAAGCTTACGCGTCATGGCTTCCATTACGCATTATGGGACACAAATTGCGATCGTTATGCTATCACGATTCAAAACAGTGATCCCAGTTAAATGTGCAGTTGCAACTTATCGGTTTAACTACTCCAATTCTTTCTTTCAAATAGTAAGAAAATGAAATTAGAACTGGCTTGTGTACAATGTGTTTCTTTATTTTTGTGTTCGGCCTAAGCATTTCATATTTTTTGTCATGAGAACACAAAAGTGTATGATGCATCTGTTTCGCAGAGTCTTGCTCTCCTATGGTCCTCATTTAGAGGACCTGTGAGGACCAAATGCATATTAGCCACAAGATTATATTAGTTTAGATCTAAAGGCTTAAAGTATTTGACACTTAATAAAGCAATACCAACTTAAAATCTATGAACCATTAGAAAACTCATTTTCTTATTTTGCTTTATTAAGGTGTCAAATAATTTAAGCCTTTGGATATAAACTATTATAATCTTGTGGCTAATATCCATTTGATTCTCACAGGTCCTCAAAATGAGGACCTTAGGAGTGCATGACTCCTGTTTCACATTTATCAAATTCTAATTTTCTTTTATTTTTCAGCTGTGGCACTCATTATCTATGCTTAAGTTGTTTTAGAGCTTATGTTAAATCTTAAGCACTTCAAATTGCAGGTTTATGAGAACACGGAAGTTAAAAAGCGTGTAGCTTTGTCAAATCCATATGGAAAGTGGCTACAGGAAAACATGCGATCGTTGAAGGCTGCGAACTTCCTTTCAGCCACAGTTGCAGAAAATGATGCAATACTAAGACGGCAACAGTGAGTCTTCTGTTTCACCGGCTATTCAGATATGGTAGAAATTTCATTGGTAATGTTGCCATGATTTTATGCTGCCATAGTGTACATGATTGATGTTCATACTTAATTTCTATCATGTGCACGCTTTTTTGCTGATAACTGTAACTGATATGTGGTATGTATAATTTATAGTTTTATTCTTGTTCTATGGGATATCATGTACTGTGGTTGAAGCATACCAATGTATTCTCATTCTCCAATACTGTTAGATATTATCTCTTCTGCTGCGGACATTTCTATTATTTTACAAGCATAAGCTCGCATGGTACCGGGGTGGGAAGAAAGGGGTGGGGGGAGGTGGTGTGTTCTGCTTGTGAAATTGTCAAGAACAAATGAATGTAGCAGTAAATATATTGTTCTTTTGGTTACTTTCTTCTTTCCAAGAAGGACACCTTTTGTCAAGGTTTGGAGCTGTTTTGTCATCTTTTTGCATTGTAAGATGTAGAGCAATTACTTAGCCGTAGGTATTTCCTTTTAAAAAGTACTAATACTGAAGGGTACACAAAATGTAGACATCGAATTTTGCTTATTCTGTTGAATTGAATATTTGTGCTAAAACCTCAGAGCAAATGTTTAGGTTTAGTTTTTATGAGCAGTAGAGAATAGGAACCAAGTGATGGTATTGAGTTTATGGCAGCGGAATGGATTAAATGATTCTTTGTGAAGCATCTTATTGGTGTCCATTTGTTCACTGATTACTTTTGATTTTATTGGGTCTATTTCATTGACGTCTCCAGTATTTTCGGTGGGCAAGGTTTTACTTTGAATATCGTTAGTACATAATTACTTTCATGAATGGGACTTAAACATTCGACACTTCTGTTGCAGGGCATTTGGCTACTCCAGTGAGGATGTACAAATGGTTATTGAGACTATGGCTTCACAAGGGAAGGAGCCAACATTTTGTATGGGTGACGATATTCCATTGGCAATATTATCTCAGAGGCCACATATGCTTTATGACTATTTCAAGCAACGGTTTGCACAGGTCTGTCACTTACAGTTTCAAGCAATGGTTTACCCTAGTCGAACTGAAGATAGTCCTTTAGTCATATTGTCATCTATTGCTTGAGGAACTTCATTAGTTCAAACTGTAAAAGTCCTGAAAAATGTAAAGGGATCATTTCTCAACCGCATCATACAAATGATTCATAATGTTATGGTCTGTATGTTCTTTCTGTAAATTTGTTGAGGATAATGAATAATTATGTATTTGATGATGTTATAGTTATTTTTTTTATTTTGCAAGAATAGTTTTTTTTTTCTAATGTTAATTTCATATTTCTTTCTTTTTTCATTTCCTTCTTTGCAGGTTACAAATCCAGCCATTGATCCTCTTCGAGAAGGTTTAGTTATGTCTCTTGAAATCAACATTGGAAAGCGACAAAATATTTTGGAGGTTGGACCTGAAAATGCATCGCAGGTTTGTTAGCATGTACCACTTTGCCTCAGTTATATGTTATGGCAACTATAATGTTGTTGAAATGGAGATTTCTTGTGAATTAAAATTTGTTTTATGTTCTGGATCAGGTTATCTTGTCTAGTCCTGTTCTGAATGAAGGAGAACTTGATTTGTTGCTAAAGGATGCCAAGTTGAAACCCCAAGTTTTACCTACATTTTTTGATATCCATAAAGGGGTTGATGGTTCCTTGGAAAAGACTCTATATAGGCTTTGTGAAGCTGCTGATGAAGCTGTTCAAAATGGTTGCCAACTGCTTGTGCTTTCTGATCGGGCTGATGAGCTGGTAAGGAATCAATTTAGCTTCTTTCTGCATTCATGCAAAATTTGTTTTTCTTTGTTCAACCAGTTTTGAGCTTGATGTGACGTTGCCCTATACAGTGGGAATAAGTTGAGTAATGATTTCACTTGAAGCTTTTTTCTTAAAATGACCTTACTGTAATTTGGTAAGTCTTGCTTTGAATGTAACCAAGTAGTATGAATTAATCTATTGTCTAAAACATGGTAATCAATGTTAAAAGATTTACGACTTTTTTTCCTTTTTGTAATCAGATTGGACTTGTTCTCTGTTGATGATAGATCGTTAACAATTCACTCATGCCTTTTCTACTTTTTCTTCAGGAGGCAACTCGACCTGCAATTCCCATCCTTCTTGCTGTTGGTGCTGTTCATCAGCATCTTATTCAAAATGGCTTGAGAATGTCAGCTTCTATCATAGTAGACACTGCTCAGTGTTTTAGCACTCACCAGTTTGCCTGCTTGATTGGATATGGTGCAAGGTCATTTCTCCTTCATGAGAATTCTTTCTGAAAGAATTATCTGGTCCTTTTGCATCTTTCTTTTTTCCTGCCTTTTGTCAATAAAAATATATATAATAGTAATTTTAAATATAGTTATAGGTGTATGTACTTTAGTTATGTGTCTAATACAGAAACATTTGCTTCACCACCCTGGTAGTTTACCATACTAATCATCTTTACATTACATATTTCCTTTTAAGAGAAGTTTGACCATAAAATTAAAGCAGATCATTTACAAATATGGGAATGTTTGGATTAACCACGTTAATGACTCTTCTATATTATGAACATTACATGAGGAGGTAGTGTCTGCAGTTTAAGGATCTCCATATTCATTTGTTATGTTCATTGCATGAATTTGACTAATTGTATAGTCCTGCTTCTTAACCTTTTATCTATTTCAAAGTTCTTAACAATTTTGAATGGTCTTTCCAGTGCTATTTGTCCATACTTGGCATTAGAGACGTGTCGGCAATGGCGTCTGAGTGCTAAAACTGTAAATTTAATGCGTAATGGGAAGATGCCTACTGTAACAATTGAACAGGCTCAAAAGAATTTCTGCAAGGTCAGTACAATACAGTAGCTTTATAAGAAGTAAAGTTTGTGAGTACTAGTGAAAGCATTCTTTGTATAGTTTGATTTGTTTACTTATGGCAATTTGATTCCCTTTTAATGGATAATTAGATAATAATTTTGGCAACCCATACTTGGTTAAGTCTTGGAAGTAGCTTATTTTTCGCTTATATGTTTTTTCTTGGGGTGACTTATACATGCTAAGCATTATCCAACAACTGATCTAGAGCACTTAAGCGTTGTATTTATGGATCACCCGGTTGAAAATGTAATTAGTTAAATGAGCCATGATTGATTTTTGTTCCTGGAATTTGCGTTTATCAATACATTTATAATGATGGACAAGGTATACCTCTTTTCCATTGCACACGTTGAGGATGCTATTCTGAGAAATGGGTTGTTTTTCACTGTTTCAGGCTGTTAAAGCTGGTCTTCTTAAAATTCTTTCCAAAATGGGCATCTCGTTGCTTTCAAGGTACTGGTTTATTGTTATTTTTTTTCTATGTTTGTATCTTTCTTTCTATGGTATGAATTCTGATTTAAATTTCACTCTCTAAGTATTTTATCTTTAGTTAACTTATCTCATTCCTCGTTTTATCTCGTTAATTGACAAATCTATTTTACCTTTTTCTCGGATATAGTTATTGTGGTGCACAGATATTTGAGATCTATGGATTGGGGAAGGAGGTTGTTGATCTTGCATTTTGTGGAAGTATATCTTGTATTGGTGGATTAACTTTTGATGAGGTAAGAGTCATGGAAAACTTGAAAATGGTTGCAGATTGGACATTGCTACCACCATGCATATGAATATTTATATCTATATTCTATAAATAATTTATTTCACTTTTTGTGGTATATATATATTTTCAGATCACACTGTACTGACTTGTCCACATGTTTATACTTCTGGTTATTGAGAATTAATGCAACAAGAAAAGTAGAAAGAACAATAATGTTCTATAAGTATAATCTTAAACCTCAGTTACTATCTTTATGTACACAGGTTGCATTTACAGCTACATTTCTAAGACAAATCATTCTTCTTTCAACTTGAGAACAAGGAGACCCTTTAAAAGTGCTATCAAAAGTTAGGGGTTATGTAGATATATAAGTTTTACTTATTAAGATACACCTACTTGCCTTCCAAAGGATTTTACAGACAGTGGTAGGAATAGCTTCCTACTATATAGTTTAATTGGAAGATAAAGATCACACAATAATTGAATCCTAAACCCTAAACCTGCTCCGCATGGAAGAGATAAAGAACACGATAGTTGAATCTGAGTGGGCAACCAATCTTAGGTTTGTTGATAATATCGTGTTTAAGAATGGGAAAAACAAGAACAAACTCCGGAAATCGAAAAACAAATATACAAGATAAATAAAGGTCGTACCCAGTGCACAAGGCTCCCGCTTTACGCAGGGTCTGGGAGAGGTGAATGTCGGCTAGCCTTACCCCCATTTATGGAGAGGCTGCTCCCAAGTCTCGAACCCGAGACCTACCGCTCATGGACGAAGGCACTTGCCATGGCACCAAGTGCGACCTCTTAAATATACAAGATAAATAATACCAAGAATTTACGTGGTTCGGCAATATGTGCCTACGTCCACGGGACAACAACAACAATCTTTAACTATATCAATAATGAGTACAACCAATAATCTTGCCAAATCTCTAGAACTAGGACTTGATGAAAATCCTGAAAGAACAAGAAATAACCTCTCTTTTCTTTTCTCTCGCACACTTTACAATATTCTCTCACTCTAATCCCTTGAGTGGTATACAATTTATTGTTTTGCTCCCTCCTCAAAACTAGTACAATAGCCCCTTTATATAGACATAATAAAGGTCTTTTTATATAGGCATAATAAAGGTCTTCTTCAATAAGGATTACTAATCCTAATTGGAATCTAGTTATTTTTTTATTGAGAAGAAATTGGAATCTAGTTATGAATCATTCTCCAATTGAGAAACTAACTCCAATTGGGAAAACAACTCCAATTGATAAAACAATTTAATCCTCTGAGATTATAATTCCTTATAGATGCAGGACAACTTATCATGGGCTGGAAAAAACCCAACAATCTCCCCCTCCATATCATGAGGAAGGTATACCAAAATAGGATTGCTCCTCTTGACCAAACTCTCATTGATCGAACTTTTCATGATCAGACTCCCTCTGATCGAATTACCCATAACCAAGCTCCCCTTGATCGAACTGCTCATTAACCAAGAACCTCTTGATTAGACTTCTCTTGACCAGGCTCCCCCTGATCGCAATACCCATAGTCATTGGCAAAGGCAACTATAGACTTCTTTGCCAGAAAACATCGCTCATCTTCATCTTGGTCCAATCAGCATCAGACATACTTGCTGGCTTGCTCTTAACACCTTCAGTAAAGCATGTCCTCCTCTTGATTTCCACGTAACCCAATTACAGCAGGTTGCACCCTCCATTCTAAACCGATATCAGCCAAACCTGGCTCTGATACCACTTGTTGAGAATATCGCGTTTAAGAATGGGAAAAACAAGAACAAACTCCGGAAATCAAAACACAAATAACCAAGATAAATAACACCATGAATTTACGTGGTTCGGCAATATGTGCCTACGTCCATGGGACAGCAACAACAATCTTTCACTATATCAATAATGAGTACAACCAATAATCTTGCCAAATCTCTAGAACTAGGACTTGACGAAAAACCTGGAAGAACAAGAACAAGAAATAACCTCTGTTTTCTTTTCTCTCGCACACTTTACAATATTCTCTCACTCTAATCCCTTGAGTGGTATACAATTTATTGTTTTGCTCCCTTCTCAAAACTAGTACAATAGCCCCTTTATATAGACATAATAAAGGTCTTCTTCAATAAGGATTACTAATCCTAATTGGAATCTAGTTATGAATCCTTCTCCAATTGAGAAAACAACTCCAATTGGGAAAACAACTCCAATTGAGAAAACAACTTAATCCTCTGAGACTATAATTCCTTATAGACGTAGGACAACTTATCATGGGCTGGAAAAAACCCAACAAGGTTGCTAGGGGACTGTTGAAACTATACTGTGTTTAAAGTATCATGCTCTTCTGAACTACATATCCACTTATTTATTTATGATTATTTTTGTTTTCTTGAACAGCTTGCAAGGGAGACTTTGTCCTTCTGGGTGAAGGCTTTCTCTGAGGATACAGCTAAAAGACTTGAAAATTTTGGATTTATACAATTCAGGCCAGGAGGTAACTGTTATTATCAAAGGAGACGTTTTGACAGTGACTGGTGACCTTACTTCACTAGTGTCTAGACTATTAATAAAAGAAGTGAAAAATTTGGGTAACAAGAACTCCAGGTGGAAGTGGAGAATCTATATTCTTGCTTTAATTGTGTAAAATGCTGGCTGAGTTTGAAACATTGTGTAGTTTACTCAATTTTTTTAAACATAAATTTTCATCTTTAAGAAAAAGGTGTAAGGGCAACTTATTTCAAACTTAGCCAATGGTATAAGTTTGTGTTCCTATATTTTAAAAGCACCTTAACACTTGCTGTAATAGCTTGATGCAATAATTGTGTTCTTAAGCTTATCAATGTTTATTTCTTTATTATAAGGGGAGTATCATGGAAACAACCCAGAGATGTCAAAATTGCTCCACAAAGCTGTCCGCCAAAAAAATGAAAGTGCTTTTTCAGTTTATCAACAGCATTTAGCTAACCGACCTGTAAATGTGAGTGCTCAAGTCATTTATTTGTTTTTGTGCATTTTCAATTATTCATTGTAGAGGTTTGAACTGAAAATAGAAAATTCATTGTAGAGGTTTGAACTGAAAATAGAAAATTCATTTGATATTGACCTTTACCTTGTTAATTCAACCTTTAGGTTCTTCGTGATCTTGTTGAGTTCAAAAGTGATCGTACTCCAATTCCTGTTGGAAAAGTTGAACCTGCTGTATCCATTGTTCAACGGTTCTGCACTGGTGGGATGTCACTTGGAGCTATTTCAAGAGAAACTCACGAGGCTATTGCCATTGCAATGAATAGAATAGGTGGAAAGTCCAATTCTGGAGAAGGTGGTGAGGTAAAGCGTCCACCTTTGTTACACTTTCCATGAACAGTTTTCGTTTAATGTATTATTTTAGTCATTGGTTCATTGTTTCAGTGACGATTCTAACTTTAAAATCTAAATTGTGTGACCATCCATCAGGATCCTATTCGTTGGAAACCACTTACAGATGTCGTTGATGGATACTCTCCCACCCTTCCACATCTTAAGGGTCTTCAAAATGGAGATACTGCTACAAGTGCTATCAAGCAGGTCATTACATTGAACATTTTATTTCCTTTAATATGGACTGCCTAATGCATAATTTTAAACATCCATTGTGGCACTAGCTGCAAACAGCTTCTAGCTTGTTTCAATATATAGGAATATATTTCAGTATCCTCTATATAAATGTTTATTGAAATGGTAGTTGATTATGCATTTCCAATAAGCAATAAATCACTGAAAGCTTTGATATATTCAGGTTGCTTCAGGACGTTTTGGTGTCACTCCAACCTTCTTGGTCAATGCTGATCAGCTGGAAATTAAAATTGCACAAGGTGCGAAGCCCGGTGAAGGTGGCCAATTGCCTGGTAAAAAAGTCAGTGCATATATTGCGAGGTTGAGAAATTCTAAACCAGGGGTTCCACTTATATCTCCACCTCCACACCATGACATTTATTCCATAGAGGATCTTGCCCAATTGATCTATGATCTTCATCAGGTTATACTTTGATGCAAATTAGGTGTGCTTAATTTCTAACTGAGATATCACAAGATTGCTGATACAAGATACCAATGTCCATTAAATGAATAGGTGAACCCTAAAGCTAAGGTGTCAGTAAAGCTTGTGGCAGAAGCTGGAATTGGCACTGTTGCTTCTGGTGTTGCAAAGGGTAATGCTGATGTCATTCAGGTACTTATCCTAAATCCGGAATTGGCACTGAATGAGTATGTTTGCGTACTGAGCAGGATGATAATTTTGATGGCTAGCTTCTCTGTGCTTTTTATGTAGCTGTCGACGTTATGAATTTAAGTGCAAATAACTCGGAAACATTGAGACACTGTTCCGGGGACTAGACACCCTTGGGATACTGTGGAGCCAATTAGATAAGTTGAACAGAAGGTTTAGAAAATTCGAGGACGGAGTTTCTTTTAAGGAGGGTAGATTGTAATTTCCTGTATCCTTACTAGCCTTGTCGCCGTAGTGGAAAAATATGGGTACGCGCATATTTCCAGACAAACCTGTTACAGTAAGACCTACAGAAACACGTATGGGTTTGGGGAAAGGATTAATGTGAAGAGGGCTCTTTCCTATTCTATATTCTGTTTACTTCTTTGTAGATAATATTAATACTTTAAGCCATCATTGATCACTTTCTTTCCTAAGTTTTCGTGTAATCGATGTAGGAGTAGATGTTTATGAAATGGTTGTATTTATACCACTAGTGTAACAAGTTTGAGCTTTGAGTGACAAGCAACAGTTGCAATTACAGTTTGATCCTACAGTCAGTCCTTGTGTAAGGAAGGTTGAATATGCACATGGTGCAAGTGACTATTTGATTATGTAACAGTGTTTTAAAAAACTAGTTTTAAGACTCGCCTAGCCGGTTTATGGGGCGGGGCTATGAAGAAAACGGCTCTGCCCAGTGGGAGTGAGCTATAGACTAGCCTAAATGCCTCGGCGATTGCCTCAAGCGCCTAGGCTATCACCTCAGGCACGTTGGCGACCTGGGAGTTTTATTTATTTTAAAACACGGCCCAAACCCAAAATGATGTCATTTTGGCTAGGATTTTTATAAAATTCATGCTAATTTTATGTTTTTAACTTAGTTCTATTAGTTTATTATGACTTTATGATGTGAACTGGAGAAATAATAATAATAGTCAAATATTTGATTGTTTGGCATGCTTGCTTGATTGTTTACAAAGTATTATATTATATATATCAAGTATTATAATAATTTTAGGTACCGTGAGGCTATCGCCTCATGCCTCAAGGCTATCCATGAAATGCCGTGGCTTCTCCTTCGCCTTTTAAAGCATTGTTATATAATTGAATGTTCTGTTCTTCTGATCTCTCTCTTTTTCTGAGACAAACCTCCTTTTTAACTGGGCAGATATCAGGTCATGATGGTGGAACTGGTGCCAGTCCTATAAGTTCCATCAAGCATGCTGGTGGTCCCTGGGAACTGGGACTTACAGAAACACACCAGGTGATTCAATGAAAGATCTAAAAGGGTGACTTCTTTTATTGGATGTCCTTTGAATATGCTTTAATTGCTTTTCTTTTTTTGTAAAATTTTGACAGACACTCATTTCAAATGGACTTAGAGAACGAGTTATTTTAAGAGTTGATGGCGGCTTTAAAAGTGGAGTCGATGTCTTAATGGCTGCAGCAATGGGTGCTGATGAATATGGATTTGGTTCTGTTGCAATGATTGCTACAGGGTGTGTTATGGCCCGCATTTGCCATACAAATAATTGTCCAGTTGGTGTAGCCAGTCAGGTATCACGGTGACTGATTTTCTTGTAATTTGTTACCAGTAATGGTACACTTGTTTTACTCCATGGCTTGGCACACCATGTTGTTTGCCATTTGGTTTGTGCTACATGTGATACAAGCATGGGGTGGGTATGAGCGATAAACATGGCAAGCAACCTTGGTAGCCATGTTATGAAAAACTAAAATTCAAAAACTGTCTGGGAAGTATGTTTAGCATTTTCCATTTTGCTGTTGTTTTGTCTTTTTCATTCTGTGGAAAATGAGGGTGCATTGTTTCATTCCCTTTTTTTCAATGATTTACAGAGAGAAGAACTGCGTGCTCGATTTCCTGGAGTCCCTGGTGATCTTGTCAATTTTTTTCTATATGTTGCTGAGGAGGTAAATTTGTCTCATTTAAATTTTATAATTCATGTATTAACAGGTTTAGTGCTTAAGTTTTATTCTTTTTCTTAATTATTGTTTTCTCAGGTAAGAGGTATGTTAGCACAGTTGGGATATGAGAAGTTAGACGATATAATTGGGCAGACAAATTTACTGAGGCCACGAGATATATCTCTAGTGAAAACTCAGCATCTTGATCTCAGTTATCTTCTCTCAGTATGTGGAATAATATATTTTTTTCCTGTCCACATGTCATATTCTTGGCATAATTCCTTTTTTTCTTATGGTATTTTCTTTTTTATTCCAGAATGTTGGGTTACCAAAATGGAGCAGTACCATAATCAGGAACCAAGATGTTCACACTAATGGACCTGTTCTGGATGATGTTTTACTAGCAGATCAAGAGGTAACACTTTTTTTTTTTTTTGAGGTAAACAGTTGGACTGATGCTTGCTTGTTTAGCTAAATGAACATGGTTTTTACTTTCTGATAACTCTCCTTAGTTTCTCTAAACCAACGGCTTTATGGGCAGATAGGTGGGTGGGAATTTAACATAGGTATTATCTGAATGTGTGAAGTACTAGATGTTCCATGTTAATAGTAAGTGAAGGAAAAGGGAAGGTCTATTTGGACATAGTTATGATCACAGGGCATCTGGTATTTCATTTACGTCCAGTCCACTGCTTTTAGTTATGGTTATACCATTAAATATAATGTTTAGGCTGGTGTTAATGTTTTCTTTTTGTAGGTATACATTTTACTTGCATATAATCCATCCTTTATAACGACCAATTTTAGAATTTGAAGAGCCCTCATTAAACTTGAATAACATGTTCACTTCTTTGGTGTTAATTACACTTAACACCCCCTGAGGTTTATCGAATTTTCACAAAACCCCCTCACTTTGAGACATTACACTAACAGCCCTTCGGGTTTTAATTCTCTTTCATATAACCCCTTGAGTAAAAAATCTCCATATATTTACTAATTTACCCTTATAATTAAAAAAACCTCAAAATTTTATTGAATAAGAAAATATTAATAAACATGCAAAAAACTGATATCAACGTAAAATATAGGCAAAAAGAAATTAAGGAAAAAAAATTTAATTATTACTTTGAAAAAATATTTTATTTAAAAAAAAGAAGAAGCTGTTCATTTCTTCTTCCCCTCCCACGTCCCACCTCCATTCCATCTCCTCCTCCTTTCTCCATCATCACCATCCATTCAAACTTTTGGCAACCACTTGTCTCCGACCCTAGCTAACATTTTCATCTTCTTCCCATCGGAACCACCTCCATCACCCACCCATCACAGCCACCTAGCTACCTTTCACCCCCACAATCCGCAAATGTATACCTGATCCAGCAACATAAAGGGCCTGTAGTGGTGGAGATGAAATCTGGAAGCCATGGCAGAACCCCAACCCGCTTCCTGAAAATTGCATTCCCAGCAGCAGCACCACCAAAACCCAAGTCCCCAAGTCCCCAAAATCCCCACCATCTTCCACTGCCACCGCCATTTCCACCTCAACCTGATTTTGGTACCAAATTATTATTTTATTAGACAGAGATCGATTTTTGGTTTGTTCAAACTTTGAATTGGTGGTGGTGATGGAGAAAGAAGGAGAAGATGGAGGTGGTTGCTCGAGTGGGAGGGGAAGAAGAAGATGAACAGTTTATTTATTTATTTTAAAAATAAAATATTTCTCCTACCCCCTCTGAGGAATCAATTCCTTTTGAAACTATATGCCATCTTTTTTTTTTTACCAGGCATCTGCTTATACCTTTTTCTTTGTTCTTTCGCACCTTGTTCAAATCATCATTCCATCATTTCCTGGTTCGTTGTTTGCAAAGTAATATTTAATTTTTTTTTTGTCCACATGGTCATCTTCTTGTTAATTTTAAATGTTTAATGTTTTATATCTTTTTTATATATAATTATAAAGTTTTTCTTTATTAGTTTCAAGTATTCAATAAGGGTAAATTAGTAAATTTATAAACAAATTTTTGACTCATGGGGTTATATGAAACAAATTTAAAACCTGAGGGGGTGTTAGTGTAATGTCTCAGACGTGGGGGCTTTGTGAAATCTCAATAAACCTCGGGATGTTAGTGTAAATAACCCATTAAAAATTGGGTATATTTTGCACTAAATGTTCAAAATTCTTGTAGCTGTAAAAAGCTGCCTATTCACTTGTGTTCTTTAAAACAATTGCACCGGTTGGTGCTTTTTATAGATAACAAGTTTGTATGGTGAAAAATGTTTCATATGCTGCACCATGATTTTGTATGTTGGAAACTGTTGCATATTTTCTGCAGCAGCTGAGCGGGAACCAAGATGTTCCACTGAAAATTTTGGTGGTAATTTCAGACATTTCAAGGAAATTGAGATACAAACCTTCAGTTTTCCCATGAAACTGTTTCTTGTTGATATTTCGGTGGCAAGGTTGAAATATGTTCCAAAGTGTCTGCCAATATGCTATCGGCCAATATTTTGTCACCAGATATATCTGATGACATGTTGATGCTGACTGCGTACTTCCCTTTTAGTAGAATTTCTAAGAACAAACCAGAGAGTTTCCAGTTTACCAAAAACAAAAAAAAAAAACCCGGAGTTTTTCCAGTTTCAGTGGTTCATTGTATGTTTGTTTTGGATGACATTGTTAAAGATATTTTAGTAGAAGCTGCGTGTATTCACAATAGGTTACAGACAAAATGACTTGCTATAGAAGCTAGAATTGATTATTCCATGAAAAGCAGGATTGTAAAAGAAGATTACAATGGACTTATTCAAACATGTAATTTATGCTGTAGTGAAATTGTTTCTGCAGGCCCTACAGTTTTTGTAGGATGGAATTTGGTATTAAAGTGATACTAAAAGATGAGTTGTTAAACATTAGAATTTAGTATATCACAATGAGGGAACAAGAGTATTTTGTGCTTTTATGTTAGTTAGCAACCAATCATTTGTTTGAACTTATTCAAATATGCAGTAGTTCTTTCAATGTTTCTATGCCATCCTTTCTTATAGTTAATTAGTAATTACGCAGATGGTATTATCTAGTAATCTACCACATGTGTAATCTGAAATTCAAGAAAACTACTTCTAAAAGTAAAATTATCTTGATGATCGAGAAAAAAGAATTAGAGTGCTTATAGAATTAATTCGTGCTTTGAATCAAGAGAAACAAGTTATTCTTGAAGTGGATCCTTTAAAACTCCCGCAGCTGAGGTAACACACTGTGATAAATGACTCTACTAACTTCCAATGAAAAATCATTAGAATTTTCTCTAAGGCAGCCTATCCGGCACCATTTGTTGTGTTAAAGGCTGTACTCTCAGAATATGAAAAGGATTTCTTTCTTCTGCCATTTTACGTGAAAATTTTTCCTGTCACAAAATTTGAGGAAATACGATTTGTGTGTGTACAGATATCCGATGCAATTGAGAATGAAAAGGTGGTCCACAAGACCATAAAGATATACAATGTTGACCGTGCAGTTTGTGGACGTATAGCAGGCGTGGTTGCCAAAAAATATGGTGACACTGGTTTTGCTGGGCAGCTAAACATAACGTAAGATGTGCCATTGTCATAACTTATATAGATACTGTCTGGACTCGGGGGTCTGCACAGCCCATCTGTTTTTAGATCAAAGCTAACTAGTCTACTTCATTGTATTCAGTTTTCAAGGGAGTGCTGGGCAGTCATTTGGGTGCTTCTTGACTCCTGGGATGAACATTCAACTTGTTGGAGAGGCAAATGATTATGTCGGGAAGGTATCTCTCTGAATGCAAGATCTCAAAGTTTTAAGTAAACTTCATTTATGTTGGTTAGTTGAACATTTTTCATTGCTATTAATCAGTCAAGTAGAGGATTTTCCATGTTAACTATAATTTGTTAGCTTAGCGGTTGGTTATCATTATATAGACTTGGCCCGTGAAACTAAAGAAAAGTTGTCACTGAAAGCAAATCTTGTTCAAAACCTGCATTTTGTCCTAGGAACCACATTTTTTCTTTTGGGTTTTATTATGTATAGAACTAAATAAATCATAAAATTTAGTTCTATTGAACTTGGATAATTTCATTCCTACTACTGGCAAACTATTTTCTCTGGTCTAAATTTGAGCAATTACTGAATACTTCAATTAGTTTTACTCATGAGAATCTGATATGGTAATTATTTCTTCAAGAGTATTTCCGGCGGAGAATTGGTTGTGACTCCAGTTGAGAATACTGGGTTTTGCCCGGAGGACGCAACAATTGTAGGGAATACCTGCTTGTATGGAGCCACTGGGGGTCAAATCTTCATTAGAGGGAAAGCTGGGGAACGATTTGCTGTCAGAAACTCACTTGCGCAAGCAGTGGTTGAAGGAACTGGAGACCACTGTCTTGAATATATGACTGGCGGTTGTGTGGTGGTACTTGGAAAGTGAGTAGTATCTCTTACATAGCTTTTTATTGTTACATAAAGATAGGCACTATACAGAGTTAACGCCAAGCTACTTCTATTTGAATTGTGCAGAGTCGGTAGAAATGTTGCTGCTGGAATGACTGGAGGTTTGGCATACATCCTTGATGAGGACGATACTTTCATCCCCAAGGTTTGTAATGATGCCCCTTTTCTTTTCAGTTTGGTCGGCTGTCCTCTACCTTCTTACTTGTTCCTACTGTTCAGACTTCTACCATCTTTACATTTATTTACTTGCTTTAGCTTCATCAAGTTATTGTAAAACTGTGAACAGGTAAATAGGGAGATCGTCAAAATCCAAAGAGTGAATGCTCCTGTGGGGCAGATGCAGCTAAAGAGCCTTATCAAAGCCCATGTTGTAAGTGCGATGAATAAAAACTGTATGAGAATGCATCTAAAGATGCATGCTTTGTTATCGTTTGGACTACTGAAATTCCTACTTTTCTGCTATTCCATTTGTATCCGTAATTCTATGTAACGTTCATGTCCCAATTCCAACACTCAACAGACGTTTTCCTAATTTCATTGATGTTTTGGTTCAAGGAAAAAACTGGAAGCGGCAAGGGCGCAGCTATCCTGAAGGAGTGGGACAAATATTTACCACTCTTTTGGCAGCTGGTTCCACCTAGTGAAGAAGACACCCCAGAGGCATGTGCAGATTATGAGCAAACAGCTGCAGGTGCGGTGACTTTGCAGTCCGCGTAGAGCAATACTGGCACACTGGTATGAAGCCAATATAAAAAACCGAAAAGTTTCCGACCTACCTTGTATAGATTGTTATACAGGAAACGCTGCGGACGAAGGGCTACAAATAGAAAAACGTCATTTCCTGGAGTCTTAAGAACCTGATGATGACATTCTTTCCGCTAGTGCAGTTGTATAGCTAGTGATTATGGGAGAAATTGTTAATTCCAGCTTGTTCGTATAGTTCTAGTCTTGATAAAGCTGCTTCTGCTGTTGATAATAAAGCTGCTTCTGCTGTTGATAATAAAGCTACTTCTGCTGTTGATATTGCTATCTAGTTCAGAGTTTGTAGTTAAGAGTTCCGTCGCTCTTGTGAAAGCTTCGATGACAGTGCATTACTTCAGTCCCGTTCCTCGCTTTCTAGTAATCAATGAAATGAATTTACCTTCAGTCCCGTTCCTGTTGCATTTATTCGGAAGTGGTTTACAATTATGAATCCATGTCTTTCTTGCTCATGTTCACTTAAACGATGAAATTGTTTCCAAAGTTTAGACTCTGGTTTTTTGTTTTCAAGTTTTTACCCGTTAAGAGGTGGAGGACATGTGAAGTAAATACAAACGATATTGGGAAGGGAAATTTTTACTCTGAGATGTAATGGTTTAAAGTGAAATGCTCTTAACCATTGCTATGGTTAGGGTTTGGAAGAAGGGGAGCCGAGAAGTTGTCGGAGTTGTGGGTGCAAGGTTCTAAACGAGGAGGAGCGTCTATTGCTGGTTGAAAACCCTAATAATTGGATTCACCTTTAACAAGGGTAAGCAAGTGGCTATTTGCCACAGTAATGAAAAATGAGTTGAGCATTTGCATGATGACATTAGTTCGAAATTCGTCGGTAGCTAATCTAATATTTAATTGAACAAAAATATGTCGTTTGATCAAAAAAAAAAAAAAAAACAAGGGTAATCGCATGTAACTACAAAAACCTACAATTGAATCACACACAAGAAACTCAGTTGACAATCTATCTAAACTGAGTAATAAGGACTAGTGATTTGGTGAATAACAACAGATTAATCGCTTGAGATTTAATAAGCAAAACATAATGTTCAGAATCACTAGCATGGACCCTTTTTGTGACTTTTTTTGGTAAACAACGGGGTTAAAGGTCAAACAAAGAGAAAATAAAGCAAAACAACTGGACGTCTAGAGATTCCAGCTGTGTTCGGCACCAGGAAACGTCAGTAAGAGCCAGGAGCTTGATCAAAATAAATTAACAAAACTTGCAAAGAAAATACCTGCATAGCTAGCTAAATCATAAAATACACAAAAACACATAGTTTCAACAGCTTTGGCTAGATAAAAACATGTTAGAAGTGCCTTATGATTTGCTATAATACTAATTTAGAGTTGCTGAGTGATTTCTTGAAATTCCCTTTGGGATGGAAGTATTCACCATATAAATTAGAATTCTGATTTTTCATAACAATCATTTAGAACAGTATTAAATAATCCGTTTTGTTGGATATTCAATCATTCTCAAAAGATTAAATCAGGCAGAAGAGTATGTCATTATTAATATTGAACATTAGAGTTTTCGAAAGAGAAAACATGATTATTCAATTATTGGACAGGGACCAAAATGATCAATTAGTAATATGATACCACTTTCCAATTTTTGTCTCAAAAGACAATGTTCATCATAATCATAATTCATGACGAAACAAAATTTTGAGCAAAAAAACCAATACATCTTTTCAACCAAAATTTAATCAGTGTTGCTTAATACAAATTAGTATTGAGAATTTGCATAAAATAAGAACAAATAAGAGAAAATAAGCATGCCAAATAATTGATACCATTAGATGTGCACAAATCACTGAAAACAATATTTCAGAACATAACTAGTCTTCGAAATTCCCAAAAAAAAAAAAAAAAAAAAAAAAAAATCCAGCAGTACTACTGTATTTTGCAAATTCACTCAAAAATCAATTCTCTTTAGATTGTCATGAAAATTTTTAGGTACGAACTAGACACATATGGCTACTATTTCAAAAAATTTCATGACTTTTAAAATTTTACAAGTGACCCAAAAATTGAATCTATACTAAAACTGGAAAAACACTGATTCACTGTTCATAAGAACAGTGTACTCCCTATTTTGCCCCTCATAAGTTTGTTTTAGTACATTTCTGCCACTTTACCAGAAAATATATATACAGTTTATTCTTTCTTTTCTTTTTCGTCTTCTCCCTTCTGGCCGTTTCTTCTCCCTCCTCTCCGCGACTCACCACTTTGGTCGGCGACGAGTTCGTCGTTTCCGGCAACTACAAGCCAACAAACCACCGGAAAGAAACCCTCTCCTTACATTCAATATAACCCTTAAATCTATTTCTAAAAATTCTCATCCATTTTTATTTATTAAGTTGGTGCCCAAGGCGAACCGTTTCCGGCTCAACGCCGACGAATTGGACCTCACCGTTACAACCAATCGTCTACCCTTCATCTCAGAAATCAAAATCACCCGTTGCATGCCTCGATTCATTACGGTTTAAGGTGAATCAAAGGTAAAGCTTAAATTTTCATACAAAGTTTGTATTTTTTCTTGATCAGAATTTGGGCTTTTTTATCCTTTTACTGAATAGTTGTTAAGAAATATTAGAATTATTAATTGTTTTGGTTTCTTTTGAATTTGTTCTTATTTTATTTTGAACCCTTGAATTTGTTTTTTATTTTTCTATTAACTGAGGATGAAATTTATTCTTATTTTTCTATTAATTGAGGATGAAATTTAGTCTTTCTTAACAGTTTTTTACTGTAGATTCTAAGTCCTCAACGCCCAGTTACGTAGCCTGCTCGATTCCAATTCTTATTTAAGGGTATGATGCAAAACCCATAATTTCTTGGTCAGTTGGCTTCTACTGAGACTATGCAGGTATACTTATTCGGGGTTTCTAATCTTTGCTTACAGTTTGAACAAAAAATTAAAAATTAAAAAAATCTTTGCTTACAGAGAGTTGATGACTAGGCAGTGATTTCTATTGAGCACCAGTTATTTGCACCCCTTTTTCCCTCCTTCCATAATTGAAGTGCTTTTGACTTTCGGAAGTAATGATTTACAAGATAAAATTGTTGATTTTGTTTCATCCATTTGTGTTTCCTTTTTCAAAAATTAAGATAGAAAGGGAATGCTATGGTAATTTGGGGTTTTCGTTTTGATATTCATATGTGTATAAAAGGGTTTAATAGATATCGTTTCTGTGTGTAGGTGGTACTCGGAGAAGTTTGTGAAGGGCCAATGGGAAAAGGGGATTGCATTTCAGATTGGCAGAAATACAAAGCCTGCCTCTATGTGAGTTTCCAATCTTAAATTTTCTTCCAAATCACAATTTATATGATTAATTTGCTTATTCCTTTTTCTGGGATTTGAGTTTTTATCTCCTGATTATTTTTTGCAGAGATTGTATTAATTTTCCTTTGACTAGGAATTTGGGGTTTCTCAGGTATAATGTTATCAAACTTTATTTTCTAATTTTCTGATTTTGGGGTTTTGCAGGGAGTGATATATACTAATTTTTTGGGATTTTTGGTCCTTGCAGAGTTTTCATTCGCCGGACAATGATAGGCGAATCACCATAAGAAGCAGCAATTCTGTTGCAAACTGAATCCGGGATGACTAACCTAGAGTCTGTAAGTTTCCGAACTTAAATTGTATTTTCTCTCTCTTTCTGCCCTTCAGAAGGGTTTTGGTTTTTCGCTTTCCTATACTTATTTATCTGAAAGCACCTTAATTTTGTGTTTAATTTGTGTTTTTGTGTTATGAATTCTAAATTTTGCATTTAATTTGGGTTTGGGTTTTGAATTTTGAATTTTAGCATGATTATGCTATAATTTACTAGGATCTGTTTTTTTGAATTGTTGATTACTGAGAAGAGTGAGTATATTGTGAAGGAGAAATGATACATATATTTTTTTTTACTATAATTTTTGGTTTCGATGATAAAATTTGGATTTGCCCATTTGGGGATTTTCCAGTTTAGAACCTAGGAAACAAGTAGCAGATGCAGAGGCACTGTTGGGCAAAACTAACAAATTGTGGACCTCTGTTAAGTCACAGTCCAGTGACGGGATTAGCCTGTCCGACTTTGTTACTGCTTTGCTTAATAATTTTAGCCAACCGAAAGGAAAGGATGACCATGTCTCGGTTTATTGGAAGGAAATTGGGTGTGCTGTTTTGCCTATTTTCAAGAGCGCTGATGAGTGTTGCACTATGCGAGTTATTTGTTTCCAGTGTTCGAATGCATTCATTTATTCACTCTCAAATTGCATACGATAAAGCAGATGAAAAATAGGGGAATAAGGATTTTATATGTACCTTCAGGATGACATATAAACTGTGTCTTAGCTTTACTTATGTGTCCCCATTTGTTTTCTCATATGTTGTACTACTGTTTCGAATTAAATTTAACAAACCATCCCCCGCACTAACAACTCTATTTTTCAAAATTTGTAGCAACCAATTGAAAACTCTTGCAGAGGAAGACTCAGAAAAGAAAACCCCTCTACATAATGAAGATAGAGATGAGCTCGAGAATAATGTAGGAAAATCTACATCCCAGTAACATGTTCATAATCGATGGACAATATTTCGAGCGATGAGCGGTTGAATAATTCCAATCTTTTGATCTGTGTAACATGGTGCTAAGTTAGCCTCCTCAAACAGTAGATATGTATATGTAAATAGCACAAGACTTACTATAACATGAAAAGCAGCATATAAAGTATGTTATAAATGTAAACAACACCGTAAATAGTATCAGCTTTTGTAATTGACACTAAAAAATATCATCTTTATGTGTAAACATATTATATATAAATATTACCACCTTAAACTGTCTTAAAACCCGCAGCATCGCGCGGGGTTCAATTGCTAGTGAATTCGAAAAGTGAGCTGCAGAAACTGCAGAAATTGTGTACAGTCCCGAGATTAAAAATTCACCAATAATTCATTTTGCAGCCAATACTTGTGAAGATTTTCAAATTTGAAATAGACATCTCATTGTATATCATACTAAAATTTCACAAATTTAGGACTTGCATATGTATATCAAAATAATATCACTAACAGACTATACTATTGCAGAAGTATTTAGAATTCCAGCAGCGTGGTATCGCCTTTAATATTTTACCATGAATTTATTTGATGTCCAAAAAACGTGAAAAAAATTGTAGTATATACAATCTATTCTAAAATACAACAAAACAGAATTTCATAAGGTTTGGAGTTAGGGAAGTCTCTATAAAAAATAGGAAGTCTATTAGGTCCAGGTTAGTGACATGAATGGTTTTCCTTTTCATGTGAGCTTCTTGCCTTTCAACATATCATATTTCTGACTTGTAAATACTTTTATTGATTTCTCACTCAAAAATTTATGTTAACAGAGAGTACTTAAGTGGAGCAAAACACATTAAATCTAAGTTGAATCCTCTAAACTACAAGCAAGACGTCATATGAATAATCAACATAGTATTAGTGTCCTAGTCTACGTAAATCATAACGTGTCATAAGTATTCATAATTTGTCATAGGTAATCAATCATATCAAACATGTACTTAAAGCAAACAAGAGAATGCAAAAGACTTGCTTGTAAACGGCGCTTACACGAATGTCAAATTTTTCAAAATAACTAGTCTATCAGAATTGAAAGACTTGGGATTCAAAAATATTTTAATTCTTTTAAGTATATGCAGTATAAGTTCAACGCAAACGTATATGGTATAAGTTGAACGTAAAACACAAAAGGCCTATTCAAAAAGGTTCCTTCAACCAGATTTATTCAATCATGCAATCTTAAGCCAATACATATAGTCAAAATGCAATAAGCTTAAAGTCATGATGCAATCCTCGTTTGCAACATAATGTCAATGGATTTATGGAAAATGAGCAGCAGCGAGAAGACAAACCCTACAAACTAAACGAAAATTCCATGTTAAATTTTTGGGACTTCAAACAATTGGTTGTGTTCTGAAAAAATTAGGGTTGTAGTATGACTTCAGCTCTTGGATACCATGAAAGAATCCAAAAGGGTTTGTGAATCAGATTGCATAAGCTCAACTCAATAAATATGAGTGAGGCTTTCACTTCATTTATATAGAGTTTCAATAGAAGAGTTTGTTACAGATTTGTTATATATACAAATATTCAAAATACGGAACATATAACAGATTACAATAGATTAAGATAAGCTAGTGTTTCTGAGACTGTGATAAGCTTTGACTAATAGTCAAAGGGCTGGAATAGTTTGGAATGGCGGGAGCTTGGATTCCAAATGGAGAGGAGACTAATTGCTGAGTTGGCAGAATCCTTGACTTGGATTGCTGACTAGATTTATCAAAAACCACTCCCGCGGCGTCCTCATCATCTCAGACTGCGTCATCTATTTCTCTCTTTAACTCAATCATCGTCTCCATTGTTGCTTCTAATTACTTGTTTTTTTTAATTAGGTTTTTGGATATATAGAGATGGCCAAGTCGATTTGCAGAGATGGTCAACTCGGTCATCAGCTGCTCCCTTATCATCTTCTTCTCCTTCGCTCTCTCATCGTCTTCTGTTCCTTCGCAGAGATGGCCAACCTGAAGCAACTCTTCCTGGTGATAGCTCCTCCTTTTTTAGCATACAAGTTTCAATTTATGCACTCGAACTTGATTTAGCTATGGTAAGATTGTGAATTCATGACCAATGAGAAAGAAATTCATGACCAAAGTAAATATTGTCATCTGTATGATTATGAATCAGTGTTTTAAAAGACTCGCCTCAGGCATGCCTAGGCGGCCTTTAAGGCTGGGTGCCAGTGTTCCCGCCTTTGTTTTGAGGGAGTGGGGGGAAGGCGTTGCCGGGGCGCGTCTGGGTGGCAGAGGCGCGCCTTAGGGCGTCTGGGGCGTTCATTTGGGAATTTTTTTTTCTTCAAAATCAGGTTTTCAACAAAGAAGAAGGAGAGACTTTCTCTCTCCAAATCTCATAAATTTTCATAATAATTGCTCCACTCAGCTTTTATTTCATTTTAAATACCCTATAAATACTCCACTCAACCCTTTATTTTCCTTTAAATTCCCTTAATTATTGCTTTATATCATTTTAAATACCCTATACTACTCCATTCAACCTTTATTTCCTTTTAAATTACTTATAATTGCAACATTCACCCTTTATTTTGCTTGAAATTTTCCTATAATTGTGACCATTCTTATTTTCCTTGAAGTTCTCTATAATTGCTTACAATAAAATAAATAATTATAGCATTTTGAAACTATATGACATAGTTTCCAAGTACAACTACTAGACCTAGTAATAAAGAAGATGATATTATCTTTGATTTAGTTATAGTTATATTTATTTTTACAAAGTTATAAATATATACTTATATATATATATTAAAATTTTAGGTTCCATAAGGCTTCACCGCACGCCTCATACCTCGTTCCTAGGTTGGGTTATCCATTGGACGCCTTGGCCACACCCCCGCCTTTTAATACCTTGTTATGAATTCAATCTTTTGATTGATTGTCATGAATTTTTGAACCGGGCATCTTGAATTTTAGCGTTATTGCAGATACTAGTTGCTTGAGCTCGATTTCGATATGGGCTTTGAATTAGTGTATTTGTGAGTCGATTATTTGGATTTAGAAATTTTATTGCAAAGTTTCAATAATGTGATTAGTTTTTTATTTTTTTTAAATTTTTTTATGATTTGTTTAACTGCATATTTTAAATTTTAGCATTTAGTGCATATACTAGTTAATTTAGGTTGAAATTTGATTGGATTTTGCTACTTTGGTGTTGGATTTGGGAATTGGATGTTGAAAATTTTGATGTTGGTTGAAATTAAAGTTGAAGCAAATAAAATGAATATTTCGTTATATATGAGGCTTTTTTTCTTTTCTTTTTTTCTTTATTCTACTTCTTAGTCTGACACTGCACCAAACACTTCACTAAGTCAGTCTAATTTAGTTTATTCTAAGTTAGTTTGGCTTAGTCTATTTTAAGCTAGTCCAGCTTTAGTCTATTCTAAGCTAGTCAGGCTTAGTCTATTTTAAACCAGTCCAACTTAACCTCTGAAACTAGTCCAATCCGAGATAATCTGATGCAACAGATGCACCCTATAAGTGTTTTTAGTTACTCTAGAATGAATAAGTGGAACTCCAAGATATTTTTTCAAGGTCATTAGTAAGTGGAGGACACAAAGAAATTACCTCCTTAGGCAAAACATTAGAAGTGTTAAGGGGACAGCAAAATAATCTTTGACTTCTCAAAACTGATTTGCTAACCAGATGCTTGACAAAATTTATCAAGACAATTTTGAATAATAACGTGAGCCTGTGTTCGAGAAGCCTTAAAAAAAGGATAATATCATCAGCAAACATTAAATGTGTAATGGGTGGCCCTTGGTGTGGGATTTTCACAGGTTTCCGAGATTTACAAATAACAGCTTCTTGAATTAGATGAGACAATTTATCAATACATATAGAACAAATAAATATGGGGAAAGAGGGTCTCCTTGACAAACTCCTCGATGCGGAAAAAAGTTCTGCATAATTCTCCATTTAATACTACTTGAAAATCCATATGAGTCACATAATTCATGATAAGCTCAAGAAAAGTGTCTTACCTACCTCTTGTAAAGTTTGACGAATAACACTCTATATGAGTTTATCATAAGTTTTAGCAAGATCAATCTTACAAGCCATATAACATTTCCTTGCCTTAGTTTTCCTATAAGTGTGAAAAACTTCTTGAGTCATGACTATGTTATCCGTAACATGACAACCAGAAGTAAAATTGACCTGATGGGGGCTGATTAGCTTAGTCAAAAAGGCCTAAGACGTCCCACCAATATTTTAGCTTTATTTTTCATCAACAAAATAATTGTACTTTTTTAAGATGCTTAGCATAACAAGTATGAGGATTAAACAAAACTAGAGAAAAAGCATAGCCGCAAGAGGGGAGGAGGAGGATTTCGTAATGCCCAATCACTTTTTTCTTCTTCTTCGTATCTCTCTCATGCCAATCATTCAACCTAAAATAGTTTCTCTGACAGTTTTTTCCTTTACTCTTAACTTTATTTCTATGCCTAATTGGAGCAATTCATTGCATTATGTCCATGTGCTTTCAGTTAATCTTGTGATGAGGACTCTTATTCGCTAATATGCAACTCTTATCCGCTATTATGTGCAGTTGAATTATTGGAGATTAAATATTCCCCAAATTCTCTGCCCTTGTTCTACATGTTTAGTAGATGTTGTGGATCCTATGGAGGTAGTTAGACTTCGACTTGTGACAGTAGTTACGATTTAGGGTTATGGTTTGATTTAGGATTTTTGTCATTTTTGGCTATACAGACTCGAATTTAGATTATTCTAGAATTTGGTGTTTTGAGTTTGTAATTGTTTGCGAATTTTATCCGCTTTAGTTTAGCACATTAGGAATATTGATTTATAGTTACATTGAAATTTCTGTTTTGTACATTTTTAATTAATGTTTAAGACTATTAATAAGTATCATTCTCTTAAAAAAATATATAAATATGTACTAGCCTCTTATAACACATTTATATGTGCGGCAACTAGCTCTTTTGTTATTTCATTAAAATAGTTGAATTACTATTTTACCTCTTAATTCTATTTTTTCTTCTCCTATATTTATATAAAAGGAGAAGTACTTTTTAGTATTACGAAATTTTCACCAATTTGGTTTCCTCCTTTTATATATATTACTAGCCTCTTGTCACACGCTTATGCGTATGGCGCTTTTTTATTATTTTACTTTTTTTTTAAATTTTACTTATTTTAGATTTTATTATTTCTTAGTAAAATATGTTTTGAAAATAATAAACGTAA